AACAACCATGCTCAGGTCCTAAAAAAACAGAACCTGATTTGTCTTTGCCCAACCAGCCAAATGCTGGTTCCACTGGTTTCCCCTGGCCCTGTAGCATGCAGATACAGACAAACAACATCCAACCTTCACCTAAATTGTACCCCTATAGTGCCTGCCCTGCTACACTATAGTCAACCAAACAAAACAGTACAATTTCGAGTTGGATAGAACTGAATCTGCACAATCAATTCAACCGAACCGCAAAGCTTCCATCTTGGGTTCCTTTGCGAGCTCGTCCTTTCTGCTTGTACTGTTCATAGCGCATACAATGTTGTGCCGAAGCGCACAATGTCCGACTACCTGCAAATGCTTCAAGCGAAAATTGCGAAAGCATTTGCACCCAAACATTCCATTCACACCCAAATGCATTCGCACACGCATTCTCGAACAAACAGACGGCAGGATGTCGTGCAAAGTGAATTTCCAACCAACACACTCCCCCTCAGCCTGTCGGCTGCATCGCTATCATTCCATGCTAGTTCCACTGATGCGCACACAACGCCAATGAGGCTCATCCGCAAGCCTCTTGGTGACGAAGTCACTCCTACTGGGAGTACTGGTGCTGTCCCTGCTGTTTCTGGCGTCGCCACGCGGCCCCGACCGTACTTCGTTCCGCTCCTGCAGCAGGTGCTTGGTCTTACACCTTCTCCTGGTCCTCCTCCTCCTCCCTTAGAGGGTCCACAGCCTGTCCAGTCCCAGTCACAGCTACAGCCTCCCTCCCCTTTGCCTGCTCCTTCTCCCTACGCTGGTCCGACTAGAGGTCTTACTGAGCGTCATGAGCCTGCGTCTCGCCCTGCGTCGCCTGTTCGCCCTGCGTCGCCTGTTCGTCTTGCACGCACTAGTGGTCGCGGTTCGCGTCAGCGTCCTCCTCCTGTCCCTGGCACGCACCGGATGTCTCTGCGTCCGTCCACTGCTCCTCTGCGTGCCCCTTTGCCTTCTCCTCCTGAGTCCTCTCTTCCTGCCCTTGCCGACCCGGAGTCGGACTCTCTTCGTGCTGCCAGTCCTACTGTCACGCGTCTCCTTGCTACTGCTGTCACTGACCCTTCTTTCGAGTCTTCTGCTGCGTCTGCCCTTGTCACTGAGCTCGTCGACTTTGCTGCGCGCTGTCGTCTAGACTACGCTGCTAGTCTTGTCGCTGAGTCTGAGTCTGCCTGTCCTCCGTCCGTCGGGGGTGAGTGTGCCCTTGGCACGGACGTCCTTGAGGACAGGCAGGAGGAGGTCCAGTGTCTGGCCGCCGCTTCACCTCATCTCACGTCTGTACTGCTCGCCCCTGAGGGAGACCCAGATGCACTAGACATCCCGACTCCGCGCTCTTACGCGGAGGCGATAGAGGGTCCCTACTCCTCTCAATGGCAGGCAGCTATGGATGCAGAGATGGCTTCCTGGAAGTCCACAGGCACCTACGTTGACGCTGTTCCCCCTCCTGGGGCGAACATAGTCAGTGGCATGTGGATTTTCAGGGTGAAGCGGCCGCCGGGTTCTCCGCCTGTCTTCAAGGCGCGTTACGTGGCTCGTGGCTTCAGTCACCGGCAGGGAGTTGATTACTTTCAGACCTTCTCCCCCACCCCGAAGATGACCACTCTTCGGGTACTGCTGCACGTTGCTGCCCACCGTGACTACGAGCTGCACTCTCTCGACTTCAGCACTGCTTTCTTGCAGGGCAGCCTGCACGAGGAGATCTCGCTGCGTCGCCCACCTGGCTTCACTGGGTCTTTCCCTCCTGGTACCCAGTGGAGTCTCCGGCGTCCAGTCTACGGTCTCCGCCAGGCGCCACGTGAGTGGCACGACACACTGAGGACTACGCTTGCGGCTCCTGGGTTTGTTCCTTCTACTGCCGACCCGTCGCTGTTTCTGCGCACCGACACCTCTCTGCCGCCGTTCTACATCCTCGTGTACGTCGACGACTTGGTCTTTGCCACAGCTGACACTACTGGACTCGCCTACGTGAAGTCCGAGCTGCAGAAGAGACACACGTGCACTGACCTGGGTGAACTGCGCAGCTACCTTGGCTTGCAGATCACCCGGGACAGAGCACGCCGCACCATTACCCTGACTCAGTCACACATGGTGCAGCAGGTCCTTCAGCGCTTCGGCTTCACGTACTCCTCGCCTCAGGCCACTCCTCTGCCTACTCGCCACTCGCTCTCAGCTCTGCCTTCGGATGAGTCCGTAGAGTCGAGTGGCCCGTATGCAGAGCTTGTTGGCTGCCTCATGTACCTGATGACCTGCACACGACCTGACCTTGCATACCCTCTTATCATTCTCGCACGCTATGTTGCTCCTGGGAGACACCGACCAGAGCACATGGCTGCAGCGAAGAGGGTGTTGCGCTACTTGTGCAGTACGTCGGGCATGGGGCTAGTGCTTGGAGGGCGCAGTCCAGTGGTCCTCACTGGGCACGCGGACGCTTCTTGGGCTGACGACCAGGCTACGCAGCGGTCGTCACAGGGTTACACCTTCAGCCTTGGTTCCGGCTCTGTTTCGTGGCGGGCTACCCGCTCGTCTTCTGTTCTCGGCTCCAGTTGTGAGGCTGAGATCTACGCCGGGGCTATGGCTGCTCAGGAGCTTCGCTGGCTCACCTACCTGCTGACCGACCTTGGAGAGCCGCCTCGTTCTCCTCCAGTCCTGTACGTAGAAAACAAGGCCATGCTGGCCTTGTGTTGAGAGCATCGACTGGAGCACAGGACAAAGCACATTTCTCTCCGCTACTTTCTTGCTCGTGAGCTACAGCAGCGTGGACAGTTGCGACTTGCGTACGTGGCCTCTGAGGCCAACACTGCTGATGTCTTCACCAAGGCACTTGCGCCTTGTGATCATCAGCGTTGCTGCACGCAGCTGGGTCTTGTGCCTGTCTTGCCTCACTTGCTCACTTCTTGACCTTGCTTGTACCTTGACCTTTATATACTCTTGTTCTTGCTTGCTTGACTCTTGTATATCTCTATATATGCTCTTGCATGTGAACTGGCCTTGTGGCCCTTGAACTTGTGCTCGGAATGTGTGGTGACTTTGTGATCCACCCTGAGCTTTGCTTTGCTTTGCTTGACTGGTCTTGTGACCCCTTGTTCTCCCCCACTTTGCCTATGGGGGTGTGTCATAATATTATAGCTTACTTATTTGTGTAGGCTATAGTGGGGTATCCCATAGGGGGTACAACCCACTAGGGTTTCCTATTTGTACTCACTTCGTTCATAGTCATTTCATTCTCGTTCCAACTTTATCACCACGCTCTCAAAGCAGCCAGTAATGTGATGCCAACTGCCCTGCCCTGCACCCAAAGAGACTGGTGCGGGCATCCACCCATCGTCTGACCCTCCCAACTGCCGTACCGCGTGCTTTATATTACTCTGAGCCTGCGCTCGCCGCAGGTCCACGGAAAATCGTGTAGTGAGTCCGGTCTCGAAAATCCAGGCTGACCCGTCATCCCCCCCCCCCCCAAGTCTTTACGCCGCTGTGCAATCCGCCGCGCACAAAGCCCTAGAAACTGCCTCATTGGCTCGCTGAGCAACCCAAACGTCTCCACTACACAAGCATAAAAATGTGGCGGCGGTTGTAATCCCTCTAGATGCGGTGCCCAATCCCGCAACTTGTCCTGCACTCGTCTGGCTGCTGCAACACCTATCTGCACTGGGGCCCCTCGTCTAAGCCCGGTATTCCCCTGTTGCTGTGGATCTGCAATGGAGACGTCTACCAACACCATCAAATCTTTTTCTATATCGCGGCAAGTCAGGTCTGGAATGCGGGCTGGTGCCCCTATGCAGTCTGTGCGTCCAGCCTGCCTTTGCTGCTGTACTGGCTGCTGCTGTGCCTGGTCCCTCTGTGCCTCCTCCCTTGTCGTCTCTGCCTCTCTATGCTCTCCCCCACCCACCTGCCTCCTCCCATTTCCTCTCCCCAACCCCAAACCCCGCAGCACCCTCGCCCTATCCCCCCCCCTCCATACCCTCCCCTCCTAACCCCTGCGCTCCCGCCGTCGTGTCCCCCGCCACCTCCTCTCTCCCTCTCTCCCCGAACCAGCCCGCACCCAAGGGCTGGGTCGCCCCCTGGACCCGGAGCCCGACCTGCCCTTGCTGGCCATCCCGCTGTTGCCCCTGCTGTCCCCTCTCCTCTACTCCACTCGCCGGCCTCTCCTGCCCCAGCTGAACCTCCTGTTGCTGGCTGTGCTGTCCTCTCTCCTCTCCTCCACCAACCTGCCCCTGCTGAACCTCCTGTTGCTGGCTGTGCTGTCCTCTCTCCTCTCCTCCACCTACCTGCCCCTCCTGCCATTGCTGGCCATGCTGTTGCTGTTGCTGCCGCTTCTGCTGCTGCTGCTACTGCTGCTGCTGCTGCTGGTGCTGCTGCTGTAGCTGCTGCTGCTGCCGCTACTGTTGCTGCCGCTGCTGTCCTCTCTCCTCTCCCCTAGTAGCCTGGCCCCACTGACCCTCCTGCTGTCGCCCCTGTTGACCTTCCTGCTGCTGCCCCTGCTGACCCTCTTGCTGTTGCTCTTGCTGTCCTCTCTCCTCTCCCATACTGTCCTGCCCCTCCTGCCCCTGCTGGCCCTCCTGCTGCCATTGCTGCTGTTGCTGTCTCCTCTCCTCCTCCCAGCCAGCCTGCCCCTGCTGACCCACACGCCGCTGCCCATGCTGACCCCCCTGCTGCCGCCCCTGTTGACCCTGCTGCCGCCCCTGTTGACCCTGCTGACCTTCCTGGTGCTGCCGTTGTTGCCCTCTCTCCTCTCCCCTACAAACCTGCTGCCGCTGCCCCTCCTGGCCGTGCTGTTGCTGCTGCGGCTGCTGCTGCTGCTGCTGCTGCTGCTGCTGCTGCTGCTGCTGCTGCTGCTGCTGCTGCTGCTGCTGCTGCTGCTGCTGCTGCTGCTGCTGCTGCTGCTGCTGCTGCTGCTGCTGCTGTTGCTGTTGCTGCTGCTGCTGCTGCTGCTGCTGCTGCTGCTGCTGCTGCTGCTGCTGCTGTTGCTGTTGCTGCTACTGCTGCTACTGCTGCTGCTGCTGCTGCTGTCCACTCTCCTCTCCCCCACTAGCCAGCCCCTCCTGCCCTTGCTGGCCCTGCTGCTGCTGTCCATGATGTCCCCTCTCCTCACCCCTACGGGTCTGCCCCTCCTGCCCCTGCTGGCCTTGCTGCTGCTGTTGCTGCTGCTGCTGCCGCTGCTGCTGCTGTCCCCCCTCCTCTCCCCCACTAGCCAGCCCATCCTGCCCCTCTCGGCCCTCCTGCCCACCAGCCCCTCGAACGAGCCCACCCTGCTGCTGCTGCTGTCCCCACGGTGCCCCTGACTGTCCCGGTACCCCATCCCCCGTCCCCGAGAGTCCCTGCAGTCGCGCTCTAGCTGCCTCCAGGTGCAAAATCAAGGTGGTGTCCTCCACCTTCACCGCGAAACCTGCCTCAGAAGCAAAGTCCCGAAGCATGTATTTCACGGTGTCGTGGATGACCGTGGCGACGCCGAAGCGAGAGCACCGCACCACGTGGTGAGGTACCGTCATATCGTCAATCGCCTGCCCACAAGAACACCGACCTGCGAGGGCTAGTTGGGTGATAGGGAGGCCGAGACGGAAAGCTGAGGCCACCTGCCACTGCGCCTCTGGGATGCGCAGCGAGTCTGCGTACAGCACCACCGTCAACCACGCGCCTGCACCTGCGCCCTGAAGGGATGTCAAACGGGCAAGGTGCAAGGGGTTAGTGTGACGGGCCCGGACTGACTCCAAGGCCCACGCCTCCAAGACGCGGCTCACTCCTGTGAAAAGAGAATCAGGGGCAGCAGAGACACAAGAGTGCCAGAGGGGGAAGAGAGAGAGGATGTCACGTGGGAGGCCCTCCAACGCCGTCCGCAGTGATCGATCGATCTAGTCAACATCATCCGATGCGAAGCTCTGTCGGAAGCTCACGCCGCACACTGGGAGGGAGCAAAGGATCGGCGCGCACCGTACCCAAGAGCACGCATAACTCACCGGGGCGATACGCTCCATGCGTCGGATGCCAAAACCCCCTAGACATATGGGGAGGTAGATCTGGTCCAGGGCAGCCTCACGAACGTCCTCTCTGCAAGTCCAAGTCCGAGGCACCAGAAGCTGCTGAAAGGTCTCCACTAACCGCTCATCCCACCATGCAAAACTGGCACGTACAGCCGGGGTCGGAGGGACCGTCCTCGCCATATACTGCGGTCGCATGCTGACGCATGCCGAAAGTAGACGGGCCGCTGTCTGGGGCTGGCGCAGTCTCAGAAGCCACGGCAACACGCGCCCCATCCTCTCCAGACGCTCAGGTAGGCTCCTCTCCACAAAAGCGTCAGAGCCCACCGGCACTCCCGTGACAGTGAGTCCTCTGCGAGCGACCTCAATCCCCAGACTCGTGAAGGCCTCCACCTCCCTGGAAGTCACAAAATCCCTGCCGTAGACAAGACACTTGTGTGGCTGGACCGCAAGGCCCAGCTCGCGCAAGTGCCTCACAATCTCTGCGAAGTGGTGTAGCACCCTGGAAGGAGGGCCCAACACGTGTCATCTGCGTATGACCATAGCTGGACATCGCCCTCAGCTAAAACTGGTTGTAGAGCCATGCGCTGTCTGAGGGCATACAGGAAAGGGCTGAGCGGGTCACCCTGACCGGTCCCGCGCTCCGAGTGAATGGTGGTCACCCCTCCATTCGCCCGGTAGAGGAGATCGGAGGGTGTCCCGTAGAACAAGCGAATGAAAGGAATAAGATAGTGGAACTCAGCACTAGTGTAGAGGGCCTGGAACATGGCGTCTCGATGAAACGAATTAAAGGCGTTCGCCATATCCAGCTGAAGAACCACCCAGTCAGGGTGGTCATCCAGGGCGTGACAAACGCCTCTAACCACGACCTCTGTCCCACAGGTAACGCCCACCCCAAACTGCTGTGACGCGAGGAAAACTCTAGCCATCTGGTCCCGCAGCTGTAAGCATACTGCGCGAGAAAGGATGCGAATCAGAACCTCACCTATCGCGATAGGACGCACATCCAGGTTCGGTTTCGCGAGAGCGACCAGAGTGGACGATGCCAATAGCGACCGAGCTGCCGGGGCGTAGTAGCCTCGCAGCCAAAGCTGGTACACGGCGAGCAGGCTAGGGAGGCTCTCAGGAAAAGCAAGGAAAGTATCTAGGAAAGATGCTCGGCAACCCAACCTGTCGGTCCTCCAGACAACCCGCGCGGCGGAGGTGATCTATAGAGAGCACAAGGGCAGTATCCTGGAAAGTCGGTAGCCAATCTGGAGTCGGTCGCTCTGCGATGGGATGCTTGCTCCGCAGACGTTGCATCGTACTCTCTGTGTCAGGTGCCGCCTCTGCCGACTCCAGGGCCGCGCAGGCCCACGAGGTCTCATTGCAAGCCACCAGACGCAGGCAGCGGGCAATGCGACGGTCATCGGGTGTGGGGGAGGAGGTGGTGGCGCGAGCGTGTCGTGCTGCTCGTAGAGGAAGGGGGGTACGTCGATGTAGGGCCTCAGAGATGAGCTCGTCCCACTCACCTCGTCCAAAACGGATGATGCGCGCTGCAATGGCGGCCGTGTTTGAACGCTCTGGCAGTGTCGCCGGAGCCAGTAGGAGCGTCGGTGCTGCCGCCAAGAGGAGAGTAGGGCCTGGTGCCTCTGGGTCATGGGAGACCCGCGCTAAGATGGCGCAGGGGATGTCTATATACCCACCACGGACCCTCGGGGGGATACGCCGAAGAGGACGGGCATGAATGTGCTCCGGGGCAAAGTACTCCGACCACCGAACGGAGTCAAGCGACCGCCACTGTGCATCTGTGAACTGCATCCCCTAGGCTCGGGGCTCTGCTAGGGAAGGTAGAGCTGAGGCCCTGTCGCGGAGGGCCTGCGCCCTGCGAGCTGCGTCGGCAGGGTGGCAGAATGGCATGTGGTGTCGGAGTGCTCGGCGGTTCGCGAGGGAGCTCAGGCATGTGGGGCACCTCACGACCTCGTCTGGTGACGTCGCTGTGTCGGTGGGGTCGGTCATGGCCGTGCCCTCGGAACTATCTGCCGTGGTGATAGGTGGGGCTGGTGATGGGGATGGGTGGGGAGAGGCAGGCAGGAGTGGTGCACCTACATCTGTGTCAGAGGCGCACGGTCTGAAGATCAGATCGGTCTCCATCGGAGAAGGGTGAAACGGTTCCTGCAGGATGGGGGCTGCAAGAGGGAGGTCCATGAGGGGGGCTTCGTGGGCGTGTACCACTGGGGCCGGGGGTGTGGGAGTAGGGAGGGGTATGCCAGTGTTCTGTATTGCCAGCAAGTCAGATACAGCCACCCCCAAGCCCGATGAGGGCTCCGACGCCTCCAGGTCTGTAAGGGAGGGAGGGTGACCTTGTCCAACGAGAGATGAGTGAAGCACCGCTGGCCCATGTGGCTGGGTTGCATGTGGTTGTCGCACCAGCCTCAACTCACCCTCCAGCCCTCTCAGCTGAGCTGTCGAGGGTGGGGTGGGGCTGCACGCAGTGGTGGGAAGGGGGGTATGAGAGATAAGTGCAGCCTCATCCTCACTCGTCATTCTGTCAACCCCAACTCCAACTACCTCCATCCCAGTGGGAAGGGCGTCATCCTGAGCGGCAACCAAATGTTGGTGGGGAAGGATTGCGCCGGGGAAACCTCCACCGTGTGCCTACAAAGGCGAGGGTTCATTTGGGGGGGGATTGCTGGGTGATGAGCCCATGTGAGGGTCGCCTGAAGCAGGTTGGGCAGAGGGGGCGGGAAGTAGAGCTGCAGGTGGGGCTGAAAACGGAGGTGGGGGTGTGGAACTTAAGCCCTCCCCGCCTCTGGCTCTCCCCCTCCGTCGTCGACCTGCGTTGGCTTGGAGAGTTGCGGTCTGGTTGTTGTGGGGGGGGGGTCAGAGTGGGGCCTGGAAGGAGGGGAAGGGGGGGGGATGCTGGCGCGGCGTGATGGCTCAACATGAGACCTCCATCCACCCGTGGGACCTCCCAAGGTGGCGAGAGCCGGTGGCGTGGTAGATGCCAAACGGTGCTGGTTGTGGGATGGTGGGTGGGCCTGTGCGGGTGCAAGCGGGGGTCGATGGGCTGGGAGAGGGCGGTGGTGACCATGGGGTGCCTAAGGCTGCGAGGGTGGTGATGATGATGATGATGATGATGATGATGATGATGATGATGATGATGATGATGATGATGATGATGATGATGATGATGATGATGATGATGATGATGATGATGATGATGATGATGATGATGATGATGATGATGATGATGATGGGGGATGGTAGGGGAGGGGCAAGTTCCTAGCAGTGGGATGAGGTGCCGGTAACCGGCGCTGTGGAATTGTGTAGCGTACGGGGCGGAGGGGAGTTGGTGCGGGGGTTGATGCGACTGGACCAAACGCCTCGGACATATGCACATCTCCCGGTGAGGGCGGACCTGGTGGAAGGAGAGGTAGTGATGGCTGGGAGTTGATAGTCGGGGAGCAGGGCTCCTCTAGAAAAGCCCGGGCCTTGGCTGCCCCACTTAATTCGCGAGAATGCCTGTGAGGGTGGGGGCAAAGGGTGGGTGCTCCCGGGGGGGAGTGGGTTAAAAGATGCGGGGTGTGGATGGGTGCAGTCTCCGGATTCCCTGTCCTCGCTGTTTCCTCCTGCCCCTCTATTAAAGCTTCTGCCTGCATGGGGGTGGGCCTGGGGGGGGCAGGGGGGACCTCGTCATGGGGCTGTGGTGGGACTACAGCGTCCCCCTCGCTGCCAGCCTCTCCTGCGGCCCGCGCCACTCCGTCTGTGGTCTCTGCCGCTCTTGCAGCAGACTCCTCTGCCCCAGCTGTGGCCTCTACCGCCCCTGCTGGCCGTGCTAAAGCCCGGTCCCTAACTTCAGTCGCAACCCCGTCTGGTGCAGCAGTCGCCGCCCCATCTGCCACCTCTTCGACCACTGCTGCCCTTTCTCCAACAGCCGCTGTTCCCTCTCCGTCAGCTCCTGATACCGCCCCCACGCTGGCAGCCCTCGCTGTACCTCCGCGCTGTAGCTGCACTTGCCCGCCGCTATGCGGCAGCTGCTGCCCTCCATCTTGCAGCTCTTGTTGCCCCCTCGCCAACAGCCCATGCTGCCCTCCAACCTGCAGCCCTTGCCGGTCCCTTACAAGCCACCCCTGTTGCCCTCCTCTCCCCCCTCCCTTGCGGCGCCTCCGCTCTTGCCGTTGAGCCAACCGAGGCCCTATCAGCGAAGTGTCGGCGTCTAAGGGAGGTGACACAGGACTTCTGGCGCTACGCTGTATGGTCGTTTCCGCGAGGTCACGGCTACGGTGGACGTGCTGTAGCTGCAAGCGCCTACGGTAAGCCTCCCATAGTGCCCTCGCTTCCTCGGGTGCCTCGTTCGCATTCGTTCGTCCCTCCTTGTTGATTGGGGACACTCCCCTGCCGTTGTCGGCTAACTGGTCGGGGCCGCTGCTCCGGCTAGCCTGGTTGCTGTGAGGCCCCTGAATTGGCTGTATAGTCCCCGCATTGTTGGTTTCATGGCATGGCCTCTTGGCTGGTTTGCCGAAGAGGCATAGAGCATTGTCAGATTTATATGACTTAGCTGCTGTAGGCTATAGTGGGGTAGCACATATGGGGTACAGCTTTCTAGGGTTTGTACTTGTACCCAACTTTCCCTTAGTCATTCCATTCCTCGTTTCTTCTCATGGTTTTAGAGGAGGTTCTCTAGTGGGAACGCTTTCTAGGGCCCACCTCGAAAAAAAAAAATTTTCCTGCCCGGAGCGCGCTTCGCTCCTGCCCGAGTCGCGCCCCGCGTGCCCTCCCTACCATCGCGCCGCCCTTAGCGGCCCCTCTCACAGCCCCTTGAGCCGCCGTTACGGCCCTGCGCACTGCCCTTGCGGCCCCTCGCGCCGCCCGTTGGCCCCTCGCGCCGCCCGTCGACCCTGCTCGCCGCCCTAGCGGCCCCTCGCGCCGCCCGTCGGCTCCGCGCGCCGCCCTTGCGGCCCCTCACGCCGCCCGTCGGCCCCCCGTGCGCCGCCCTTGCAGCCCCTTGCGCCGCCTGTCAGCCCCTCGTGCTGCCCTCCCGGCCCCTTACGGCCCCTCGCGTGGCCCCTTACGACCCCTTGCGCGGCTCTCGCGCCCCCCCCCCCCCTACGGCCCCTTCGCGGCCCGCCGTCGCCGCCTCCAGCAGCGGCCGCCACCGTCCCTGCAGCAGCAGCCGCCACCGCCGTCCCTACAGTAGCGGCCGCCGCTGTCTCTGCAGCAGCGGCCGCCGCCGCTATCCCTGCAGCAGCGGCCGCCACCGCCGTCCCTGAAGCAACGGCCGCCGACGCCGCCTCCTACAGCGGCCCGCCGTCGCCGCCTCCTGCAGCGGTGACCACCGCCGTCCCTGCAGCAGCAGCCGAGCCGCCCGAGCTGCCGAGCTGCCCAAGCTGCCGAGCCGCCGTTCCCGCCGAGCCACCCGAGCCGCTGAGCCGCCCGAGCCGCCCGAGCCGCCGAGTCGCCGAGCCGCCAAGCTGCTGTTGCTGCCGAGCCGCCGAGCCGTCCGAGCCGCCCTATCCGCTACACTCGGTCCTTCTCGCCTGCCCGGTAAGAGCAGCACCTCTACTACTGCGCTGCCCTTAGCCTGCTGCTCGCGCTTCTAGTCTACTGCTGTCATGGCTACCCCCAGTGTCCTCACTTTTGACGCTGAGGGTCGGGCCATTGACTTTGACGTCTGGGTAGATGACCTGCAGCTTTACCTACAGTGCGATAGGGCAGACGGTCTCTCCCTCTTTGACCTCACTTCTGGTGCCTCTCCTGCCCCTGCTGCTGATGCTGACGCCACTGTTCGCTCACAGTGGGCCACACGCGATGCTGCTGCACGTCTTGCTGTGCGCCGCCACTTGCCCACCGCTGAGCGTGCACACTTTAGTCAGTACAAGAGTGCTAGGACCTTGTACGACGTTGTAGTTGCACGCTACTCTTCCCCTGCCACTACTGCACTAAGCCGCCTCATCCTGCCGTACCTCTTCCGTGACCTCGCCGCTTTTCCCACAGTCGCTGACCTCATTCCGCACCTTCGCACTAGTGACATTCGTTACCGCGCTGCCCTTCTTGCTGAGTTCTGCGCCAAGAACCCCCCCCCCCCCTATGTACATCACCCTCTACTACATCGTCACCCGGCTCCCTGACACCATTCGCCCGGTCAGGGACCACTTTCTCTCTGTTTGCCCCACCACTCTCACCGTTGACCTCCTCGAGGAGCGCCTCCTAGCAGTAGAGAAGAGCATAGTCGCTGTAGGAGCCTCTCGTGGTGACCCTCTTGCCCCTGTCTTTGAGGGGTGCTCCCCCTCTCCTCTCTTGCCCTCTGTTGCCTCTGCTGCTGCGGCCGACCTCGTTGGTCTTGAGTCGGTCGGTGTGGCGTCTCCCCCTAGCGGGAGACGACGCACTGGCAAGGGCAAGGGGGGCACGGGCGCTGGAGGAGCTAGCGGGGGCGGTGGAGGCGGCGGTGGAGGCGGCGGAGGGGGTGGGGGTGGCGGTGGGGGTGGTGGCGGGGGTTGGGGCGTCGGTGGTGGCGGTGGGAGCGGAGGTGGCGGAGGTGGCGGAGGTGTCGGTGGCGATGGGAGCGGAGGTGGCGGAGGTGGCGGCGGTGGAGGAGGCGGCGGCAGAGGAGGTGGAGCTGGTCGGGGTGGCGCTGCGCAGAGGGTCGGCTCCGGTGGTGGTCCGCGCTAGCAACAGCAACAGCAGCAGAGCATTCGTGAGATCCCCCCCCCTCTGCAGCTTCGTGAGTGGTACGCTGCACGCCAGCGGGGTGGGGGTACTGGTCCGTGCACCTACGTCCTACGCACCGGCGACCGTGCGGGTGAGCCGTGCGAGGGTGCGCACTCCACCCAGCGCTGCTTTGGCCGCCTGACGGACGCTTGGCATCACCAGTTCCCTGAGGCCACTGAGATCCCTCGCTGGGGCGAGCTGTCTAGGGCGGGAGTAGCTATCTTTGACCTTGACTTTGATGCTATTCTTGCTGCCATGTATGCTGTGACTATTAGTGATGAAGGGGGCTGTTACCGGTGTTTTCCGCCCGACCCGGGCATTGGGACTGCTGCTCTAGGTACTGGTGAGGCTGCTGCTCTAGGTGCTAGTGAGGCTGCTGCTCTAGGTGCCAGTGCGTCTGCTTCCTCAGGTGTTGGTGAGTCTGCTCTCTCATGTACTACGTCGGCTCCGGCCTCCCACACCTTCACCCTTGACTCGGGGGCTTCTCGCTCCTTCTTTCGAGACCGCACCACACTCACGCCGCTTGGTCAGCAAGTTGCAATCTCTCTGGCAGACCCCTCTGGGGGTCCTGTCCTTGCTCACTTCTCCACTATCCTCCCGTGTCCGGCGGCCCCCTCTGGCACCCTGTCTGGTCATTACCTCCCCTCGTTCTCTATGAACTTGGTGAGTGGTGCTGACCTACAGGATGCGGGGGTTCACCAGTTCACTCCTACGAGCCAGCGAGTGACCCACTGCACGGACGCTCGGACGGGCCGACACTTGGCCACGTTTACACATCGGCTGGGGTCGAGCCTGTACACATTGACCACTGAGTCTCCTCCAGTCACTGCGTCTGGTCAAGCAGCTGCGTCGGGTCAGGTGTTTGCTGCAGCGTCCAGGTCTGGTCCTGAGTCTGCCCCCTACTCGTGTTGCCTCCTGTCTCACGAGACTCTCCTCTAGCACCACCGCCTTGGTCACCCCTCCCTGCTTCGTCTCCGAGGCATGGCCTCCCGTGTCCTTGTCTCTGGTCTTCCCCGGTCCCTCCCTCCCCTTCCTCCGGGGCCTGCCCCTACCTGCGTCCCCTGTGTCGAGGGGCGGCAGCGTGCTGCCCCTCACTCCTCTCAGTTTCCTCCGACAGAGGCCCCGCTGCAGACGCTTCACATGGACGTGTGGGGCCCAGCCCGCGTCCGTGGACAGGGTCACGAGCGCTACTTCCTGCTGGTGGTTGACGACTATTCGTGTTACACCACAGTCTTCCCCTTGCGCGGCAAGGGTGATGTCACTGGGGTGTTGATCGACTGGATCCGCGCAGCTCGTCTCCAGCTCAGGACGAGTTTAAGCTCGGAATTTCCTGTTCTGCGTCTGCACTCTGACAGAGGCGGAGAGTTCTCCTCGGGCCTTTTGCGAGCCTACTGTCGTGCATGAGGCATCCGCCAGACCTTCACGCTTCCGGACTCTCCACAGCAAAATAGGATTGCTGAGCGCCGCATTGGCATGGTTATGGACGTCGCCCGTACGTCCATGATGCATGCGGCTGCCCCCCATTTTCTGTGGCCGTTTGCGGTTCGGTACGCAGCGCATCAGATCAACCTTCAGCCCAGGGTCTCCATGCCGGAGACCTCCCCAGCTTTGATGTGGACGGGGAAGGTTGGCGATGCGTCTGCGTTTCGTGTCTGGGGATCTCGGGCGTTTGTCCGCGACTTGTGTGCGGACAAGCTGTCCCCTCGTGCGACTCCCTGCGTCTTCCTTGGCTTCCCCCCTGACACGCCAGGGTGGCAGTTCTACCACCCCACCTCTTGCCGTGTTCTGTCCTCCCAGGACGTCACGTTTGACGAGTCGGTCCCCTACTACCGTCTTTTCCCCTACCGCACTCCGTCCCTCCCCCCGCCACCGCTCTTCCTTGTGCCAGGTCCCCCCCCGGTAGACCCCCTTCCCCCTCAGGGTCCTGCCCCTTCAGGTGTGTCCCAGGTAGACGCAGTCGAGGCTGTCGAGGTCGCTGGTGACTGTGGTGCTGCTGGGGGTGCTGCGCCTGGGGGTGCTGACTCTGGGGGTGCTGAGCGTGTGGGTGCTACACCTGGGGGTGCTGAGCATGTGGGTGCTACACCTGGGGGTGTTGAGCCTGGGGGTGCTGAGTCTGAGGGTGCTACGACTGGGGGTGCTGAGCCTGGGGGTGCTGAGTCTGGGGGTGCTGAGCTTGGGGGTGCTACGACTGGGGGTGCTGTGCCTGGGGGTGCTACGCTTGGAGGTGCTGAGCTTGGGGGTGCGGAGCCTGAGGGAGCTGGGCCTGCTCGTGTGGCGTCTGGCGGTGCTGGGCGTGGAGTTTCTCCGGGTGCTCCGTCTCGACGGGAGCCACTCTCTCCACAGGAGGTGCGTGAGTGGTTTGCCCGGCGCTGAACGCGTGCTGCTAGAGCTGGAGGTGCTTCGGCTGCTGAGGGTGCTGGTGCCACGGGTCCCGGGGGTGCTAGTACTAGGAGTACTAGAGCTACTAGAGCTGGAGCCACTGCGTCTTCTCGTGGTCCGACTCGAGCTGGAGCAGCTGAGGGAGTTAGCGCTGAGACTACTGCTGGCGGTACTGGAGGCGGTCCTGCTGGAGGTGCTACTGGTGCTGCTGGAGGTCCTGGAGCTACTGGAGCTTCTGGGGGTACTAGAGCTAGAGGTGCTGCTGGCACTGGTGCTGCCACTGCGGGTACTGGTGCTGACCCTGCTGTGTCTGGAGTCGTCGCGCGGCCTCGGCCGTACGTCGCTCCGCTCCTTGAGCACGTTCTTGGTCTCCCGCCTTCTACTGGTCCTCCTCCTCCCTTAGAGTGT